TGGGAAGGAAGAAGCTAGCTCACTATGTCCAAAATTAGACTTATAAGCACTGCCTTATTCGCTTTCAGTTGGTTGATTACTTGCTATTATGCGTATATTCCTGTCCCGTCACTTTTCTTTCTCACCTCGAACTGTTTCTCTCTTCAGGGATATGCTTGTTGTAATAAATTTACCGTTTTCTGTGCAGTTGCGCAACAGTTCCCTCTTTTTACCTCATTCAGTGCACTTTCACTTCAGTAATCACGGTGAAACTTTTGGGGTTTATACTGAGAACGAGTTATTTTGCTTCCTACTACAAAAGAGTCAAGCCTTGATAGCCTCATTTCTTCTGTTTTGGCAAGATTTTGGCACGCAGCAGCCCCCATCATTACTTCCAGCTTCATTTTTTCCACGGGAGGAAAGCTGTAGGGCCTTTCATGTATCCTCGCAGAAATTTTTTGATTGTTTTTACTCTCCCATGCATTCTGTGAAAGCGTCCGGACATAGTCCATTTGGTAGCGCATGCCAACAGCGACCACCTACTTGCAAGACTGCGGGTAGTGCCCTCACATGAGAGTTTCTTGGAAGCAGCTTGATGCCGGCTTCGACTCTCTGCTACATTCCAGTATCAATTAACCAACGAAGCATTGGACGATTCGAAGAGGGAAGATTTGGTTGGAAGAAGATTTGGGAAGATTTGGTTGTCCTTCTGGTTTCATCAGCGAGAACTACGTGTACCTAGGAGCTGGTTTGAAATCTTTAAGTTGTACATGGACTTGGAACATTCTTTTAAAATTTCAGCTTTCCAGCTCTTCTAGTACTCGAATAAGCGAGGAAGCTACAGGCTCACATTTTATTAATCTGAAACAACGCAAAACAGTGAGGTAGAAGACAAAGGAGTATCAGCTTTCAAGATTTTTAAACAAGCAAGTAGTCATATTACGAAGCAACATAACAGCATATTACAACAACGCAGGAATAGCTTGCATAAGACTGTAAAGTGATAGTGATTATTTCACATGGATATCGATACTGTCACAAAAAAACGATTTATGATGGCAACTATTACATTAACTGGGGAGCGTAGGATGCGCGTAACAGTTCCAAATATCAATCTCAAATTTCCAGAATCAGCCCAAAAAGAGCTCCTACTGCGCTACAATAATAAAAGATCAACGGTAATCTGTTTACACATGTAAACTCCTTGTCAAGCATATTTTAAATTTGCCCATTTTGACTATCACATTAACCAAGTCATCAGAAGTGCTCGAAACGTGTCCCTCTCTTATCAGAGTGCCTTGAATTCGTTCCAGTAGCTGTGTAAGCGATCATTTCAGACTCAAAAAAAATGACTATCAATAATCAAATAAACAAAAACAACAATAAAGTACTGTACACACAAAGATGGGTCACTTTATTCACAAGTCTCATGATAAGCGAAGATTGGCAGAAGCCGGAAAATTCATGCGCCATAGTTCATTTTGATCGTCTAACAGACGAGCCGATGATTAGGAAATGAAACAAGCGTGAAATAATTTGTAGTTACATCACCAGCTGACTATACCTACTACAATATCCCAGTACTAATATTAATGAGATGCTTTAGATCAATTGGCTTACAAATCCAGTTCTCAGAGATATTCCGCACTAAAAACGCAGTTCTTTTACAGTTTGGATAAATTAACCATAATTTATGCGCCGCCTCTTCTTGACGTCTTAGGCCGAGAAAGGAACAAAAAAGGCGGCACAATTAGACTACAAGATTTGAAATCTGGCTTCTGTTTCAGTCCAGTCTCTGAATTCGCCGCTTACTTTGTGTGCATAACCCTGCGATGCGAACTGAACTCGTTAGCAACATTAAGGAACTTCCAGGTTGGCGCTTTTTAAATTTTAACTGAAATAAGCAAAATCCAAAAACTCAATGATCGCACTAAAACCTGACGCAAATGCGGGATCGACAAAAGACCGCTAAGCTAAGAATCTATTTCAACAATCATCCGCAAGTGGAGAAGTCTGATACCTCTAAAATGAGAAAAGGACGTCAATAACCGGTGGCATGTCCCAATTTATGCCTTTTAACGGTTTTAACTATAACGTAACTCCTTTTTGGTAGTTTTGCTTGCTCCATAGCAACTGTTGGTGTCTCTTAAATTTCATCCAAAAGAAGTCTGTTCCAAACACACCGCGTAAGGATCATTTGAGTGCACCATACATCTACTCCCTCGAGACCCCCGCCCCCTTTCCCAACCACCTTAGCTTTTTTTTACCTAACCCCATTTCTGATTTGCTCTGCGGCTTGCAGAGCACTAAGATGAAGGAATTCAATAGCTAGAGAGCAAGGATGGAAAAGATAATCTGTTACCTCAGTGAATTAAATACCCCTTAACCAAGAGGACTTCGTAAGAACCAACAACTGCGTTTCTGCATCGTTTAAACAACCAGGTGGAACTCTGAAAATTATTGAGCCAAACAAAACGTAAACATTATGCAAACAGTCCGATGTAAATGCTTGCTCCTTCTTTGTTTTACTCACTATCCCTGTTGGTTTTCTGCGACCCGTTTCGTTTCATGCCATTCTGAAACTCTAGAGGAATGTTAATGCAAACAGAGAAGATTTCTTACTGTCAGATCATTGTTGAAAACAATCTCAAATAATGCATGAGTAAAAGCGCACCTCCTCTTTCTTTTCGGACGCGGTGTCTCTGGGACTTCATCGGCTGCCCGCTCCTTTAACTGGAAAAGATTTATTTAAACAGCCAAGCTTGCTCCAAAATTTATGCGCTCCAGGGCTCAACTTTTTTCATAACGGCAGTGACGAATTTCTGATTGGTTTCTGCTTAAATGTTTCTGGCAAGCTGAAGAAGGATGAATTGCTTCTAACTACTTTTATGTAATCATCATAATTTCCTCAAATGCAAAAGTTTACCTGCAATTCGCCAGGCTGCTCCACAGTGCGCTCCACCTCCTCGACTGAACCGTCCTGACCACGTTCTTCCGCTGCATCCGAAAAAAACAGCGAAGTGATGCGCACTGAGCAACTGCAATTGTTCATGTAGCTCTGGTAAATGACAGTGAGAACATAACGAACAAAACAAAAAAGCTTTGAACTCATTTGATACTACGGCTTTTGAAATGACCTTTCTCATTTCTCGTTACCTTTGGAGAGAAATTCAGAATTAAGGATTCTGCGTGATACAAAAATCGCTTCATATTCTAATTAGGTCGAGCTTCATAATATAAACAGAAAGCTGCCAAATTTGAAGATATTGAAGCGTAACCTTTAAGAAGCCATTACTTGAAACAATGGCATACTATGTTTCAAAACTGGTAGGACTGGTAGTTCTAGTGATGCTCCCCCTGATAAATGCTAAGAAAAACGAATTCAGCGAAAAGATAAATCGATACTCACTTTACCTCAAGAAATTCGTGTTGAAAATGAGAGATGAAGATTTCTGTGGAAAGTCTGCCTGCTTGAAATGATATGGAGCAGTCACCGAATTATATCCCATTGGATAGTATTGTGCCGGAGTGTCTAAACTTTGTGAACATAACTATGAAACTGGCTGATTAAATACCGAGATTTAATGAAATATCTTTTTTTTTCAAATGCATTTTTCTAAAACAACAGCTCTTGTGGTGAAAACAAACCATTTCGACCTTTTCTTTTCAGTTCTTGTTCTAAATTACCTCCCCAAATTTTTAAATAAAGCGGAGACAACACTAGATTCATATACGCGATGAAAATGTTATCAAAAAGCGGTAGAGGCTGTGGTCTCGGTTTGCTGTGAGTGACCGAGAACAGCCTCGGTCGACAGTAAATATCGTCGCTTGGTAGTGGCGCCGAGACAACCGAATCGTCTGCAGGAATATCTACGCTTGGCGGGGGAGAAGATCGCTTGGTCGCAGATGCCCTCCTTCGTCGGACAGAAATGTTAACACTGAAGTATTTGCCGAAAAAACCGGCCACTGGCCCCATCAGGAGCCCCGCCTCGCTCCAGCTGAGTTCAGCTTGCAACAAAATTGAATACATAATTAATTGCTGGCGCCGCTGACTGACAGTGGTACCGTCTTTACAAAGAAAATTATTTTTTGGATTACAGTATTGAAGAAAGAATTTTATGCTAATTCCCACTTTCTTTCTTCTTTTGTTCGACTTTTCCATTCGAGCCGTTTTTCCTCCACAGCTATCTTATAAATCATGAAATTCTCGGTTATCATGAAACCCCGACTTCTTAAAAATTATTTGGGTACTTAGTGGTAGGAATAACGATGACAAATCACACCAACCTTCGTAAAAAGTGAGCCTGAAGTAGGGGCGAACTTCTTCCGGCAACGGCAACAAGGATTCCAACGTAATATCCAAAAGACTGATTAGTGAGCGCACTTCCTCACGTAGTGCAGAACCGCTATTGCAGGAAAGCGCAAATTCGCGTGTCGGGCTACAATCATTTCGAAACCTGGCTGTAGCGCACCAGGCTTGTTGGTACAATCATGCGCTTTTGCGCAAAACTTGCAGATCACTAACAGCACGAATGGTTCCTGCGCCGTAGTTTAACACTTGCAATCGCACTGATTGTGTTTTGGCTTCTTCGCACATGCAGGGGGAAGGGCATAAGCCGGGACGAAGGTGTTGAGATAGGGAGCCAAGTGTACCTCCAGCAAGTATGATTATCAGTTTCTTTGCATGAAGCCCTGTCGTTTTTACAGTGAATGCTCATCCATTGAAAAAATGCAAATTTGAAGCAAGACGAAAAGGATTATAAATCTGTAAAATGCATTCGCTTTTGAGTTTGTAATAAAACTGAGTATTTGTCATGACTGCGGCGACGATTTTACCTCCAAATTGAATTAAAACCACACGTGAATACAGAATATCTTTGCAAATTTTCAGCCTTGCAGTTTGCCTGGTAAGCAGAATAGCCGCTTCGCTACAAATCTCTTTGAAGTATCTTAAGCCGTGGAGCAGGTGCAAATCGAGACTCAGTTTATGCACAGATTTTCCATACGAAAAATAAATATTTTGAAAAAATTTAAGCTACTATTTTCCATCTAGTTTTCGACCTGACACTGTGCTGACTACGAACTTTGACGGCCGTCATACGTGCGGTACAAGCGTGCGCGATAGCTGAGTTTGAAATCGCTAGCTCATATTTGCGCAGATAATATTCCTGCAAAGTTTCATCTTTCTATCCTGTTTGCTTCACGAATTCATTTTCAGCCAGTCTACTTATTTTTATGCGTTTTGTGCTGTGTAACAGCAGTACAAAACACATATTGTCATGGGGTTGTCTGTGTGTGTGTGTTTGTGTGTATGTATCATGTATGTATGCATGTGTGTGTCCGCAGCAACTTGTCCGCAACTTTCAACTCGTGAACCGCAAAAGCTAGGAAGCTGAAAATTTAGGGGGACATTTCCCACCCACGTGTGACTCCGCAAATTTAAATTCAGCTTCCCCGTAACCACGGGTAACGCGTACAGCCCTGTGAAAGTTTTTTACGGGTAAGTTAATATCTCGGGAACCACGGAGTATAGAAGGCTGAAATTTTAGGGTAATGAGCCACTGCCCATGCTCAACCTTGCCCATTCAAATTCAGCCTTCTCTTACCTGCGGGTAATACGTACGGCCCCGTGAAAGTTTTTCT